GATTATATGTAAATGAATCTGCAGTGTGATGGACAAATGGGATCAGTGCCAGGAACCCCAGCTCCTGGTGGGGATGGATTAGTAACGGGTTCTGGTGCCTTTGCACGCAGGGAGGGAGTGAATGGCAAGGCAGGGAGGTTTCCAGCATTGCCCTGCCTGTAGCACTGAACGAAAGAGACATCTCCGGGCTCAAAGAAGAGAGGTCAAGCCTAGATAAACACCAGCTTGGTCGCCCATCAGAGAATCACTGAGGCATGAAGAAAAACTTTAACAGCTGCAATGCTGCTTTTGAACCTCGTAGTAAAAGGGAGGGTCAGGAGGTCAAAACTTTCAATGCCTCTGGGAAGAAGAGGACTTTTCCCCACAAGCCTTTGAAAAACCGAACTAAATTAGCATGACCACACTGCTAAATGCTTGGGAAACCTGAACGGCTCGGGTCACAGGCTACCCGAGCAGCAGAATGGCAAAGAGCTGTTGCATTCCCATACTCAACAGCCATAATTAATGAGGCTATTTCCTAGGTGAAAAGCAGGTCTTCTGCCCAGCACCTGGACAGGAAACAAAACCTTGCGGGATGTGCCCTGGGCACCTTTTCTTCTCTTGATGCTGTTGCCTTTTCCCCTTTCTGTTTCTCCCATCCATTTTCTCTCTCTCACTTCCATCCACCATTGTTTCAGCTGTTTTTTCCTCCCCTGCTCCCAATGTCACACAGCTCAACTCACTGTTTGAAGTGGGGAATGGCAATGAAGTTGTAATGATCTAGTTGTGCTCTCCCCTGGGGTTTGCTGAATGGGAATGCAGGAGCTCCAACCTAACTAGATCACATTTTTTTCCTACTTTTTATTGCAAAACAGATATGTAAGAGCCCTCCTCCTCATTGTGAGTTATTCACTTCCACTTTGAAGGTAGATTTTGCATTTTTGGACCTTTTGCATGAGCCGTTCTAGCAAAGACCAGGCAATGAAGACTTCTGGAGGATGTAGAGACCTGGAATTTTTGGCTCTGACTCTATCATGGGTTTTATATTCATCTTGTACTGTGAGTGTGCTGAGCACCGCTTTTCATGAGACCCTTTCCAGGTCTTCCTTCACAGCTCCCGCCACCAGAGGTATGGAAAGCAGAGAGGCACGTGCAGACCTTGCAGTGGCTGTCAGTGCTTTTGGGAAAGGGCTGTGTGCCTGCACAAGGCAATCCAAAGACACCAGACCAGTGTAGCCAAAAAGTTGACTGATTTGGACTGCAATCTTGCAGGCTGCTGGTGAGCATCCCCATTCCTTGCAGCCACAGGAGATAAGTGCCCAGCAGCTTTTCCAGGCTTGCTGCAGAAGCGGAAGGAATACTGAATAAAGCAGGAGGACAGGAAATACATCACATTTCAGAGGCAGAAGGCCTGCCCTTGAAGGACAGCAGCTCATTTACCCACCAGACCAAGGTCTCTCCTCCCTGCAAGCCCGGGCCCAGGCAGGGTTGTGGGTGGAACTGAGGGGATACAGTCTGTAGTACCCTGGCAGTCAGCTGCAGGGCTCTGCAGTGCCAAGCCCCGATTTGGCTTTCCTGTGATACTGCAGGATCTTTTCTTTCTTATGTCTCTTGTTGTCCTAGAAACAGAGGAAAAAATTCTTCCAGAGAAGCCCTTTTGTTACACTTGAGACAGCATCTTCTGTCTCTCACTAGAACAGTGTCTGGTCATAAAATAAAACCCTTGCCAGAAAATATATGGTGAGTTCAAAATCTTCCAAAGAAACCTGGAAAAACTTAACACCCTCCAAACGTTCCAGAAGCCCTAAAAGTACTGCAAGGGTCAATGGGCACTTTGTAACACTGCTACAAATCTATGTTGAGCAACAGAAGGCAGTACTCTTGTGTGTGTATATATATACATATATATATAAATATTTTTATAGATGTAATTATATGTATTATTTGTACATATTGTTGAGAGAGAGAGAGGTCCTCACTTCTAGCCTTGGATTACAGCTTTTGAAGTAGAGGGTGTCTGCTGGAAGAGAAAGTAAACATGCCATCTGGTATTGGCCACTTTTCTCTCCTGGTGCTTGGGCTTTCCTGGAAATGCTGGGATTTTGGGGGAGATTGTCTTTATTTGAGAGGGAAGCTCATGTTCTGAGGAAAATGTGCCCTTCTGTGTGCCCAGCCAGGCAAGAGATGCACTGAGTAATTTCTCTGAGGCACATGAAATGTTGTAGTTGTGTCAGGAAAGGATAGTGACTTTCGAATTTCCTGAGACTTGCAGGATCTGGAGGCACACTCCTAAGGCCTAAGGAGTCCATGGCCTTAGGAGTGTGAAGGGAGAGAAGGAGGAGGAAAGCAGGCAGGAAAGTTTGACAGCCATGATGCTGACCACCTCGAGCTCCTGGGGGGAGCAGGGGATGTGGGGCTCCTCTGAAAATCTGGCTTTACACTCTTTCCTTTCAGAAATAGGCCTGAAAAAGAAACTTTCCTCTACTTTTTCCTCCCAGCCACAGTTCAGAGGGTTTTGGATTTGTGCCAAAAGCCAAAACCCAACAGCTCTGCAGATTCGGGTGCCTCAAATACTCATTTTCCCCTCATGCCCCACACTGACCATGGACTGTAACACAGACTAACTCTGCTGGGCTTGGGTGGCTGGGCCAGGGAAGGTGTGCTCTCCTAAGAGAGGCTATAGCTGGTGACCTGCTGCTCACCCACAGTATGTTTGTACTCAGGATGGGGTTTTCGTGCAAATATAGTATGTATCTTTAGAAGCTTCAGAACCAGGACACTTCTTGTTGTGCTCCTGAGCAGAGCAGTGAGACAGCATCATCTCCTTTGGGGAAGCTCAGATAGGATTACTATCTCATCTGCGCTGGAGAGACCAAAGGACCTGCTTGGTTATGATTCAACTGCTTGGGATGCTGAGACAGCATTGCTCTCCTCCCTAAAGCAGCCTGGCTGCTCAGTCTACAATGAGGACATGACTTTGCAAAACTCTAAGGTACACCTGTAGCAATCCCAGCATGGGACCAGTGGGCACAAACCCAGAAATCAGCTCAGTCACTATTCCTGGTCGGTCCCTGACCATGGCCTCAGCATCACAGGAGCTTTAAATAAGTCTGAGGCAGAGCTATGGCTGGAGAAGGTGGTCCATGAGCCAGTCTGGCAAAGCTCACCAGTGTGAAACTAAATGTTGGACATTTTTATCCATCTTAATTGATGGAAGAACTGGAGAACTCTTCATAGGGCAAGGAATCAAGGGACCATACAGACATGAGAGACAGAGTTTATTTATTTTTTACAGTGATAATTTTACAAGTGAGAAAAGATTTCCAATATTTTTACAACCTACTAAAAGTAGAAAGATTTAAAACTCAACATTTTTTCTTAAAAGAAAGGCAACCGTCCTTGCTAGTGACAAATGAGCCTCTGCTGAGCCTGTATCCGATTGGGATCTCAGAAGACTGTCCAACCTATTAAATAAGATATGTATCTCCTGAGAACAGCCTTTGTTGTTTTCTTTTATAGATCGTTGTTCCTCCTGTGCTGTAAGGTCTCCAGGGCATGGCCTGTGTTACGGAGCGCCAGATGTACTATCTGATTTTAGGAGATCCTAATTATGAGGAATATGTCAGAACAACAGAAAACTTCATTTAAAAACCCAATTAAAGCTGCCGAGTGACAGCTACAGACTTGTGTGTTGCATCACCTCCTAATCCCAGCGGCTTCCATGTAGAGAAGGGAGTAGTTGAAGATATCATAAATCCTAGATAAGGATATCATAAGGCCTGCATGAGATGGGCATTTTTCTGACCATAAGTTAAAATTGGCACACATTTTGTGGTGGAGCAGCAAACCTGAGATCTGGTTTGGAGCAGTCACCTCGGGATCCAGGGTCTGATGGGGGGTTATCCTTTCTCATGAGTAGTGGGACATTTCACAAGACATTCTGGATAAAGAAATATAAAGGTAACTGTGTGTCTGGCACTGGGGTTGCACCAGCACAGGCCTTGCTGGAGCACCTTCGCCAGCAGAGACCTCGAGGAAGGGATTCTGATGCCATCACAGCCATCTCCCTTGCTTGGGGGACCATGGAGGAAGGACACTGGCATGCAGGGTGGGGGGAGCTTTCAGGTGGGTTTTTTGAGAGTGACGATGGGAAAAGCTGACGGAGAGAGGAGGTGAGAGGTTTCCAAAGCCTCCAGCATGGCAGCAGACACCTGCTTCTTCCAAAACCGGCTGAACCTGTCTCCCTGCTGTCATCTCTCTGCGGGTTTAGGGCGTTCTAAGCCCCCGGCCGGCTGAAGGGCACGGGGCTCGAGGGCTGCACCCTCCTCGTGCACCAGGCCAGGCTCTTCTCTCTGAAAAGGAATTGTTTTCTTGGTTCTACCCAGGGACCTGCTGGGGCAGGTGGAGGTCTGGGCCCTGCTGTCGGACAGGCTGAGCACTTCCAGGCAGGAATGAGCCCGCCCATACGGCCCCACAGAGCCAGGAGTCAGGGACAGGGAAGTACAGAGTGGTTTTGCTTGGTTTCTTTTTAGGAAAGGAGATTTTAAGTCTTCTTTTAAAAAACGTGATAATGTTTTCAGATTTTTTTTAAATATAAATTAATAACCTTTTTAAATAAAAAGATAATTCAATACTTTTTAAATGTTTTTTAAAGAGTTTTATTTTTATTGGCGAATTTATGACTTTACGAGAAAAATGTAGAATTTATGAGTTCTTAAGAAAACAACCAAAAAGGAGAATTTAAGGCTTTATTTTAAAAGGAGAAGTTTAATCTATTGGTTTTTTAGAAAGGTTTTATGCCTTTTTTTAAAGAGATTTTAAGGCTGTTGGGGGAAGTTTTAAAAGAATTTAAGGATGATTTTTTTTAAGGAGAATTTCAGGGGTTTTTTTCAAACAGCCGAGGTGATGCGCAGGGGTTTCGCGTGGGGGGCGGCGCTCACCTGGCGGGGGCGGCGCTCACCTGGCGGGGCGGGGCCGGCGGGCGGGGCTGAGGCCGGCGCGGCTCCGCGCTGCGGAGCGCAGGGAGCGGAGCGGCCGCTGCCGCCGCCGCCCAGGAGAGGAGCCGGAGCCGCAGCCGCAGCCGCACTCGCACTCGCACTCGCACTGCCGTGGCCGGGCCGGCGGCAGGTGAGTGCGCAGGGGCGTGGTGGGGCCGGGCAGTGGCCGCCGCTGCTTTGCAGCACCGGGCGCGGCCCTGCCCTGCCGCAGCCGGGCCGGTACCGCCGGGAGCGGCGCCGAGCAGGGGGGCTGCGGCTGAGGCGGGGCCGCTGGCCCCGGGTATCGGCGGAAAGAGCCGTCCCCGGGGCAGCCGGCGCCTCGCCCGCCTGGCAGGGCCCAGCGGGGCGGAGGACAGCCCCACGGGGCTGCAAAGTGGGGCAGGGGCGGCGAGCAGCTGGCTTGGGGCAGGGCGCCGCAGTAACCCCGGATCCCGTAAGGAGAGCCTGGGCTGGGAGCGGCGTTCGGCACTGGCGGGACCCCGAGCCCCGCTGCCACCTGTCCGGTGCCGTCCCTGTCGTGTTCCGGTCGGTCGAGCAACCGGGTGGCTTTGCCTCCCAGCTGCCCGAGGCGCTCCGGCCGGCAGCGCGGTGCAGCCGGGCCCCGCTGGCAGGAGCAGCCCCGCGGCCCCACCGGCGCTGCAGGCGCTGCCCGGAGCCCCCAGCGGAGGAGCCGAGGCGGCGTGGGGGTCTCGGATGGCCGTGCCAGGAGCCTCCTCCCCTCGCATCCGTGGGGCAAAACCGCCCGTCCTTTCTCCCTTCAGAGACGTCTCCGTCTCCCCGAGGAGAGGGGTTAAATTCCTCGATAAGAGCCAGGCTCCAGCCGCATACTTCTGATGCCTTCCGTGAACTCTGCCGGCAGGTTGGCAGGTTGTTTCGTAACTCCACTTGTGGCCTCCTGCGGGGAGGAGGAGGGGGGGAACGGGACACCGAGCTCCCTTCCCGGTGTTTTTTCCCTGCCCTGCAACAGCACTTTGTAATTGCAGGTTAAAAACCCAAACGTGGGTTCAAGGGTATTGTACAAAAGAAAGGGTCACAGCCGTGCGCCTCTCACTCCGAGTGGCTGCCTCAGGCACAGCCCATGGCACTCCCATTGGGATAGCTGATTTCAGGAGAAATTAGGCGGAAATTGGTGAGAAACGGTCGAAAGAGGCGAGACGGGAGCTTTGGCTGCTCCTCGCCGTGAGCCGGGGCCAGCTCCCCGGGATGCCGGTGCTCACGGCGCGGGCCCGGGCCCCTGCCGGGACATGCCAGGCCGGGAGCGGGCCCCGGGAGCGTGTGGCAGCACGAACGGCAGAGCCGCGCTGTCCTATGGCGGGGCCCTGGCGCCTGCCGGAACGGGGCAGCGCAGCGCACACACTCCTGTCCGCTCACCTCGAGGGGCAGCTCTGGGGGGAGCTGCGCTCCTCGTGAGGCAGGAATTGCAGCTCTCCCTAGGGAGAAGAGAGCAAACCGTGAGCACATGCTGTATCTGCAGTGGGTAGGAGTGGGAAGCGTCTTCCAAACGCTGCTTGTTTTCCTTATCAGGCGGTGCCGGTGGTGTCTTCTCGGGAAGGGACTGTGGGGAAGGGGGGATGTTCTTACCTTCTGTTGATGCCGTTGGAATGCCAGGAATCCTCCCACATCCCAGTTATCTGCTGGGGGAGCCTGAGCACGATGCCTGGACTCCCTCTCCGCCTGTCTCTGCTGGCTTCCCCGTGCCCTCTCGAAAGAAGTGGCATGGAAATCCAGAAGCTGCCACAAGTGCATGCATCTTCCTGAAGGCTTTCTTCCACCATGTCGTACAAAGTTGTGAGGCCAGGGAGTGCTGCTTGCAGCACCTGTGGGTGCCCAGCACTCACAGCATCGAGCACTGCAATTCCCAGGATCCTGCACTATTTCCCAGCAAGGGCATGCCACTTGCTCTAAAATACAAACCTCTTTGCAAATGAGTGTGAGAGGGACATGGAAATTATTTTTACCCAGGTCTTAAAGAGGCAGACCTGAGCACTGATCTGGCAACGTGTGTGTTGTCCAACTCCATAGTGGAGATGTGTCCTGTGGTTGCCTTCACTGTCGCCAGGTGCTGCAGGGAAATATTGCTTGAGTGCATCTGCATGGTCCACACAGGTTCATCCTTTCCATGTTTTTCAGCATCGCTCTGTCCTGTCTTGCTCATGTCATCTTCAATAGGAAAAGCCTCCAGTGGTGGCACAGAGTTGACCTCCACCCATGTTCTGTTGTTTCTCCATGTGCTGGGGAGAGAATGCTTTGGGAGCAATTCCAGATAAAGAGTTAATCCTTCCTGGCTGGGAGGCAGTGATGTGTGTGCCAAGGCTTCAGAGCAGAGTGTTTTCTGGAGTCATGTGAGGTTGGATGCTGTGGTGAGCTAGGGAGAAATCCAGGTGCTGTTTGACAATGGACTGCTCTGTGCCCAAGTTTAAATAAAAGTGTGAGGGACACTTTAGGTGTCAGCTCTGTGTGCATGCATTGTTTTCAAAAGCACCTTTTTAAAGGATGTTCTTCCATCTGTTCCAACTTGTCTATGCCCTTGCAAACCTGTGTATTCAAATTCAAGCTTAAGCTTGGCCCCACTGAAGGTTTTTAACAGAATCCTGTTGTTGTAAAGGACTGCTAACATTTTTATGTCCTTCCATTTTTCAGATGCCAAGTTCAGGAGCTCCTAAAAGTGGCTGATTGTCTGGCTTTTTGTGGGCTGGAGTCAGCACTTTCTTGAGGGTTGGGGTGCTTCCAGCTGCCCCAGGCTAGTCATCTAGAATAACTTGTTGCTTTAAAAAGAAAAAAAAAGAGGGAGGGCATGGGGGGG